CTACACAGTCAGACGGGTGGCATATTGGCAAAATGGCCGCACCCAGAGAGCGGTGATGGACGGGTCGTTTTCGACTTGGAGGGATGTGGGCAGTGGAGTCCCCCACGGCTTAGTCCTGGGACCTGTACTGTTCAACATCTTTATTAGAGATCTGGATGTGGGTGTAGAAAGCACGCTGTCCATATTCACTGACGACACCAAGATGTGGGGCAAAGTGGGCACGCGGCAGGGGAGGGACAGAATCCAGGTAGATCTAGATAGGTTGCAGAGGTGGGAGGATGAAAATAGGATGGAGTTCAACACAGACAAGTGCATCTAGGGAGAAGGAACCATCAACACATCTATAGGCTGGGGAACTCCTTTCTTGTCAACACGGTGGCAGGAAGGGATCTTGGAGTCATTATGGACTCCAGGATGAACATGGGCTGCCAATGCAAGGAAGCAGTCAGTAAAGCTAACCGCGCCCTGGCGTGCATCTACAGATGCATCAAAAGCAGGTCCAGGGAGGTGATCCTTCCCCTCTATGCGGCGCTGGTCATGCTGGAGTTGGAGTATTGCATCCAGTTCTGGGTGCTGCACTTCAAGAAGGATGTGGCTAGCATTGAGAGGGTCCAGAGGAGGGCCACTCACAGTTTATTACCCAGGGCTCTGTATAACAAGGTAACAAGTCTTAATTAGATGCTAACAGGGAGGTGGCTCTGTGTTGCACAGTGTTGCAATAGTAAGCAGGGTTATTGCATTATAAGCAGTGCATTGGCTACAGACATTATTTCCTGTGTGAAAGATCGAAATGACTTCCCACATTGCGAAGATGATTTAAGTGATTTACAATGTTCTTACAAAAAACTAGAACTTGGTTCCAAAATGATACCTTTTATTAGACCAACTGGAAAGTGGCAGGAAAATTGTCCTTTTCTGCAAGCTTTCGGGATCAAAGACCCTTCGTCAGGCTCTGGGACAAGGGTAGATGGTACAAGATGGTAAAAAGTCCCCATAGATAGGAAATAAACTTCCTTTTTGCACATTTTTACAATGTCCTTGGCATTCACCTGCATAGGGTGAGGTGTGGCACAGCCTTGGAGCCCTTGCCAGAGAACATTGCAAATTGTTCTACTTCAATGTCACTCCAACCCTAGATGACTTCGCTGCGCTCGAATTGTTCTCAGCTCAGTTCACACGTAACAATTAAAAACAGCAGTCGCTGCTCTTCTGAGAGTTCCCCTTTTAAAGTGGTTCCCGGCCTTCGTGTGTCCATCCTCAGAGCAGTGGACATTGCCGTATTGAAAGGGTTATGCGCAAGCAGCCACCAGCACTACAGAGCTACCACAGGAGTATGGAGGTTTGGCATCCCGTAGCCCACCGAAGTGTGCTGGCAAACCCCGGGGGCTGGTGCCACGGCTCCTCCCCTGTCTGGCTGGACTGTCACAGCTCTGGCTCAAGTGGGAAAACTCGTGTGGGCAGAGCTGTGCCTACAGGGAGGGCCCAGCTGCCTGATGCTGCCTTTGCTAAAGCAGCAAGAGCCCCTGTGGTGCAGACAGAGCCTTAGATGTCAATGAGGTCTGCAATGGGATGACGGTGTGATTGAAACATCCCTGCTCTGCCGTGTCTATAAAGTGCAGGGGAAAATGATCTCGAGTTGTCTATCCAGTCTCCAAAACTAGTAGTCCCCAGGGAATCCTTACCAAGGGGAGTGCATCAAGGCATGTGGCACAGAGGCCTGTCAAGGACCAGACATGTCAAGTTATCACCAGTGACCAAAAAAACAATAAAACCACTGCTGGTTCATGTGGTGGGAGCAGGGGCTGGCAGAGCGAAGGGCAGGGCAGTCGTGCAGAGACCTGCAGCATCAGCTACCCGCGGCCTGGGGAAACAACGTGTATTTTAAGGCAAATGGATGTGAAGTGAGACGTGCAGGAACAGACACTGGCCCATGACGAGAAGCCAACAAGCAGATCAGTGTGAGCTCCCTGCACGGGGCTGGGCAAGGAGAGCTCGGAGGTCTGTGGGGTGTAAGCAAGGCTGCAGGGAGTCAGAGCAGGAACCTGAGCACAGCAGGAGCGAGGCTCAGACTGAACCGGCCTCTCATTTTCCTGTCCCCGGTGTAAGAATGAGGTTGACAAACTGGAGGGTGCAGGAAGAGCCGTGAAAAAATAATTCTGGGCTGAGGAAAATGCCTGAATGAAGGACTTGAGCTCAGTCTGTTTCGTTTGTCTAAGTGAAGAAACTTAAGTCCCTGGTGCAGCAGATCCCAGGTGTAAGAGCAGAGAAGAGAGCAGAGGAAGGGAAAGAAGAGGAATCCCAGCCTACAGCCTGCTCCACCCTGTGGAAAGACCTGCAACTTCTGCTGACCGGGCTGTGGCTCGAGGACTGGCCTCTTGAGTCATCTCAGCACCCAGGAATGAGCCCCGGTAGACAGTGTCCTCGAACTGAGGGTCTGGCAAAGGCAACTGCCCAAGGGAGAAAATGCAAGGTGCTAAAGCCATGGCCAGTGGTGAGGGCACTACCAGGCAAGGCACAAGGAATGAAGTCAGAGACAGTGGAATAGGAAATGGGGATCGTAGAGCATGAAGGAGACTCCTGAGTCGAACAAGGTCCCACAGGAAGAGGTGGATTCCCCACCCCTGCTGTCTTCGGCGCTGGGCTGGAGGTCTTTGTCCAAGATCTGTTTGGGCCCCACATGAAGTCTTGTGCTCAGTTCAGGGCCACAGAGATGTCCGTGTTTCCAAACCAGGCCAAGCTGCAATCCTTGTGGTGCCTCCTGCCAGGGGTCACTGGCACTACCCCGGGCAGCACGCTGGAGGAGGAAGACACAAGCGCCATGACAAGAGCACTGGAGGTGCTGGTCTAAGAGCCAGGAGCCTGGGAAACATCTCCAGAGTGAGGCAAGGCTGCAGGGGGTAAGCAATGTCCTACGATCTGTGTCCTGGCCCCAGGGTGTGTCACCAAACCTGAGCAGGACAGCTCAAGTTTTGGCAATGGCCAGTTTTGGCAGGATGGGAGTGTATTGGTGCTGCTCAGGGCAGAGTGGGCCCAGGTAAGGCCACAGAGGAGCGAGGCCAAAGGAAATGCAGCCCAGAGGTGTCCACTGTGCTGCCAGATGTGCTCTGTGGCTGGAGGTTTGGGCTTTGCATGAGGGAGAGAAGTCGGTGCTGGCCTGGATGGGGCACGGTGGCTGGGGGGAGGCGGGTGGCACCAGCAGAGCCCAGAGGGAAGTGGGAAATTTTAATTGGGACTGAGGGGCACCGCCATGGGCAGGAGCAGGGCACTGGTATGTCACTCAGGGCTGCCTGGTACTACAAAGCAGCGGGGGTGGGGGGCGGCACAGCTGGACCCACATGCTGTTGAGCAAAATAGGCAGGGGAACTCTGATTTATTGGTAAAAAGTAAAAACTATAGGTATTTAGAATCTATATTATTTCAATGATTGAGGCACTTGTAGGCTTCTAAATTGCTTTAAAATTATAAATAAATCAATAAAACATGGTTAAATTGACAACTATATATGTATCGCTGTATAGCTATATAGATACAAACTTATATTATATATATCTATATATCTATATCTATTTATCTATATAGCCGTTCCAATTTAATCACAGAAAAATGCAGGTCCAATTTGCAACTGGAAATATAATACCCCTATGTTCATGGCTACCTGATGAGCAATTGCCAATTGCTGAGAAAGATGCAGTCTACAGAGAAGTATGTATGGGCATTCTACAGAGGGGACACAGGGGAGGACCGACAGCATGTAAAAATGTGCATCTTAAATTTCTTTACATTTATTTTTATTTCTCATTAAATTTCCGAGGCAATAACACTTGTTATTTCCTGTCATGGGTGACTAATGCCTCTCGAGTCGGTGGGAGGGGGCACCAGATTGCCAATGGGGCAGAGGGTCCCCCAATCGCCAAGCCCAGAACCACCAGTGCCAAAACCAGAAGTGCGCTTCCTATGGCACTTCTGGTTTCAGAGCTGGCGCTTCCAGGGGGTGCACAACCACCTCAGGGGGTGCACGCGGGTCTTCCTAGACCTTCGATGCTGGAGGCTGCAAGTGGGAGAGGAACAGGGGAAAACCCATGGTGATAACCAATTCCCACTGCCTTTCAGCATCCACCCCCGGCTGCCATGTGAAACGAGCCTTTTTATATGCCGTTGGGATGGGGGGGCCAAAGCCCACCAAGTAGCACTATAAGCCCCCATTGGTGGTGGGGGCCACTAAAGGCATGGCACTGACTGCCTGGGACAAATGAAAACATAATTGGGACAGGAGTGAGGGCCACAGGTTCATAACGAGTGCACCGAGGGGGACACTGAGCAGAGAGCACTGGACAGTGTTCCCAGGCCCTCGAACAAGCCCAAGGAGCCAGTGGACATTGCCCAGTGAAACTCTGCCCAGAGATGTGAAGGGACAAGGGACAGGAAAGGGACCGGGGCTAGGAGGGTGTTGACCAGGAGATCCTGGGACATGCTGGGGCTCTGGATGGGGAATGCATAAATGAAAAGGTGTGAGGAGCAGTGCAGCCACAGCCTCAGCAGGACGTCCTGGAGGTGGTGAGGCATTGCAGCCGGGTGCCCTCCAGGTAGGCATGTGCCAGGGTCTCCCCAGGCTCACCAAAAGGGTAAGTGTTGGGGGTATCTGCAGACTGCTCCCAATACACACCCATAGCAATGGCTGCATGGAGGAGCCACCAGCTGAGGTCCCCAGGGGCATCAAGGTGGAATATATATTCGTCCTTGGTGAGCATGTGCACCACTGGTTCCCTCCCACCGCCAACCAATCTGCACAGCCCAAATGGCTGTGTCACTAGCCCATTGTCTGGCATCTCCCACAGCTGGGGATGGAGCCCTGCAGCAGGCAGCTGGATAGGCTGGGGCCAGTGAGGTGGGCGGGGCAAACATTGCTTAAGCCAGTGCCCTGTGGGAGGACAAAATATCCTGGGCCAGGAGCATTGCCGCATCTCCTGTCCGGGTGTCCACTGGCACAGGGGCCCGAGGCCATGGAGCACGTGCTGGACTGGCTGAGCCGCCTTGCAGAGCTGTGCAACCAGCTGCGATTCCGGATGAGAGGCTTACGTGTGGGGCAACCACGGCCAGGCCCAGTGAGTGGGATGGAGTGGGGTGGTTATGGCTGCTGCTCATGGAGGGGATGAAGTGGAGGGATGTGGCTTCTAGGCTCATTCTGCACGGGGGCAGCAGGTGCGATTCCCTGCTGGGGACTCAGTCTGTTGCCCTGCAGCTTCTCCCTCTGCCTCCATGCTTCAGGGTTTCCCCTTCAGGGCTGCAGACAGGGGTAGACAGGAAGGATGAGAGCAAGGCAGCAGAGCCACATGCAGGGACAATCTTTGAAGGGCACCGTGCACTGTTAACACTGCGCAGAGTGCAAACACTTGCTTGGGGTTCGCAGGAGAAACCTGGGAGCTCAGAGAGGAGCCTGGAGGGCCAGGGACGCTCTGCCCTGCTGCCGCCACTCTGGGACTCGGCCACGGCAGGATCACTCCAGCGCTGCCCCCGAGACATCCAAGACTGACCGGAGCGAGCAGGCGGCAGCGCAGGTGGGGGCCTGGAGTTAGACACAGCCGAGACCCTGCAGTAGATGCTGTGGCTCATGGGCGCTGATCCCCTCAGTCCTGTTCAGGACTCCTCAGAAGCAGCGGGAACAGCCCGTCCCTGCCAATGCCTTGCAGAAGTGCTCTGGGAAGGACCTGGATGTCATTCACCTGTCTCCTTCTTTGTGCCAGGGAACTTCTTACTGAACTGCCCTGGCCAAATGTTTGTCTAACCAGCACTTTAAAGCCTCCAAACCTTCGAGCAAACACTATGGCCCGGTGTGTGTGTTCAGTGAGCATTGTAGAGAAAGACGATCTGTTCCCACATGACAGCTTTGTGACAGCATTTCTCTCCTGGGGCCATGTGCAGGAGGATGTTGTTGCCTGGCTCCTAAATTTCCAGTTACTGCACTGAAGTGTTTGCTCTGGAGAAAAATATATAAGATGAGAAAAGGCCTTTCCCCCTGATTCTAGGGTCTGGGTCCTGGTGGCCGCTGCATGCATGAAGTGACAGCTTGGGCAGGAGCCTGTCCTGAGAGCTGATCCCAGCCAGTGGGAGTGGTCTGGGCCAAGCACTCGGGACCCCTGATTCAAGTGAGCCCACAGGCAGACCGATGAGCTGGAAGAAAGGAGTCCTTGCATATTCTCGCTCTGGAAGCTGTGTGAGGTCAGGCCTCAATGGCAGGGTATGAAGTGCCAGCCTTGTTTAAACAGCTGCCTTGCTTTTATAGGACTTCCTTTGGGATTTGAGGATGAGGCCAGTCATTCCCCTTGGTGGTGCAGGTGTGGAAACATCTTTACAGTGCTTTCTACCCTGTCCAAATCACAGTCTGCTATCGCTGCCTTGGACGGGGTGAGATGGGGAACGGGCTATTTCACAAAACAAATCAGTGCGAGGACATAAACTCCTGGACCTTGGCCCCTGCATGTATAGCCTGTTACATTGATGCCCTCATCTTGAAAATGTGCTTCTGATTGGGCAGAGTTCCCCTGCTCCTGGTTGGGATGATGCCAGAGGCTGAAAACAGGATGGGTTTGATTCTGATTTCAGCTTGCAGCAAGCCCAAGACCTCACAGGTGCCTTGCGCCCATTGGAGTGAATTGCTATTTCAGCCATATGTGGAAATGACTGTCCCACCTCTCTTTTGTTGAGAGTTAAAGATGAGACCCATCAGCCCTGGATTAAATCAGTGTTTAGACACATCTATAGGGACCCAGGGACGCCCGGGGATTGACAGAGAGGAAGCATGTTGTTTGGGGATCCTTACCCCTCCTCTTACTCCCTGCCCAGACCTCCAGGACAGGTGGGTTCAGGGTGTCCCCTTCAGGTAGCCACAGGGTGTCCTGCAATGGGCACAAGAGGGTAAAGGTGCCTGCAGCTATAACCAGCCACTTTCCCTGGAACAAAGCCTGGGATCCTGCAGGCAGACACACCTGTTGTCTCCCGACAGTGCTGTGACGCAATGGGACAGCCCTCTGTCCCAGAACAATCACGGCTAATCCAAATTAATTGCCATTGATGCTGTGAGTCAGTGCAGCCTTGTCACAAGCTCTCTCAGGGCAGGGGGAGTTCCAGTCACCCTGGGCCATAAAGAGTTAACTGGCTAGGGAAGGTCCCAATTGCTCTGGGCCAATGGGTAAATGTGGTGAGGGAGAGGAGAGAAGGGAGGGCAGGATGCAATGGGGCTCTGCAGCTCCACAGGGTTAATTGGCCCAGGTGGAGAGCCCCATCACTCTGGGCCACCGGGGTTAGCAGAGCAAAGGTGACCGCTGCCCTGCAGCGCAGCCCTCAGCGCCTGCTCAGCCTCACTCCGCTGCCAGCAGCCACCTCTGCTCTGCCCACAGGACAAGATCAGAGACAGCCTCCGCACCTGCTACCAGCACCTGGAGAAGACGGGCCGGAGTTTTGCCACTGTCACCCAGGGGCTGGAGGGCGACCTGCGGTGAGTAATGCCTGGGCCAGGCACTGGGGAGGAGGGGTGCCAGCTTAAAAAATAGAAATCGGGATACCTTGAAATGTGCCGGTTGGAGCTGTTGCCTCGTGATCCCATTGCTGCTGCTTTCCACTCTGGTTCCCACTTGGCTGTCCACACCCACCTGCTGCACCTCATCCTGTGCACATTGCAGGCTGTTTAGGTCACTGTGTGCATGTGTTCAGTGCTCAGCACAGCTAGACCTTTTCCTCTGGACTTCTGACCACGAGTGTAACGAGTCCCTTGAGAAGGTGCCTGTGTAGGGGATAGGTGCATGGGTTTGCTTTTCCTCCCAGGGAATGTAGCCAGCAAACAGAGCAGGTCCCATGGCACAGAAGCACCAGGTCACGGTTCAGGGTGGAAAGGAGGAGCACCTTCTCCTGGGACGTGCAGAGAAGCAGGACTGCCTGGTACTCAGGATCCTGCTAGGGAGGACCTGGGAAGCAGAGGTGCCTTCAGGGTGTGATAGCTCCTGAGCAGCCCTGTTTCAAGGAATGCAATTCATAAATAACAAAGAATTCAGAACGGAGGATAGAAGCACCAGGTCACGGTTCAGGGTGGAAAGGAGGAGCACCTTCTCCTGGGACGTGCAGAGAAGCAGGACTGCCTGGTACTCAGGATCCTGCTAGGGAGGACCTGGGAAGCAGAGGTGCCTTCAGGGTGTGATAGCTCCTGAGCAGCCCTGTTTCAAGGAATGCAATTCATAAATAACAAAGAATTCAGAACGGAGGATTTGCACAAGTGGCATTGCTGCTGCCTCAGCATCAGGTATGTGGAGCTCCACCGAGTCTCCACATCCTGCATGATTTTGTGCTGTGAGGTCTTCACCTCTGCTTGTTTGTCCGGCAGCATCTTGCCCCCTTGATGCTGCGGTGGAAGTAGCCCACCACCTTACTAAATTTGGAAACAAGCTTGCTGGTGGTGCTGGTGCCATCCCAGGCAGTCCTGTCCCCCTCCAAGGCATCCCTGACAATGAGGTGCAAATTGTGTTGCATACAGCAGATGCCAGCAAAGTTGGCATCACACACCACCTTAACTGTATTGGCCCCATTGTCAGTGGCCAAGAACCTGTGGGTGAGCTCACTCAGCCCGATGAGCTACCCCTGCACTAAGCAGTTCATGGCCCCTATGATCTCTGCGGCCTTTGGGGACTCATCCATCACCGCAGCTTGAACGAGAGCCCGCCGACAGCCTGATTGGTTGTACCAGTGCCCTGTGAGGGAGAGATAGGTATGATCTCCACCCCAGCTGTTCCAGTTATCTGAGGTGAAGTGTAAGGCTACCTGCAGATCTGCCTTGCACAGCTCCTCCTTCAAGTACTCCCTGCATGCCTCATACACGGAGGGCATAACTGGCCTGCTGAAGGTGGCGTGTGTGGGTAATTGGTAGGATGGACCATGACTGCCATGAGCCACCTGAACCCTGGCTGCTCAGTTAAGGAGAAGGGCTGGCCATGGACAGCAAGAATCTCCCCAGTGCTCTGGTCTCGCTCACTCTTGCAATGTGCCCCACTTTCTGTCCACCTCTCCCTCACTGTTCCAGGGTGGCCTGCATCTGCTTTGGGGAAATGGGGGCTTTGAAGTGAGGGGGAACTTCCCTTTGGGCATGCTCTCACTGGTACCAGGCTAAGAAGGAGCAAGGTCAAGGGGGTGATGCCTGAGGGGGTGCATCAGCATCTCCGTGGTGCTTATGTGTGTTGTTCCTTTGCCTCAGCTGGGTTGGGGTCAGCAGTGCAGGCAGATAGCATATGAAGGGTCATCTGTCAGCTCAAAGTGATCTGAGACCACACTACCCGCTCACTTCTGGGGTGTGGGTGCATGTGTGGATGATGCTGCACTTTCCCCCTCCTCGGCAGACAGAGGCACAGCAACAGAAGGAGCCGACTCACATGAGCTGCTTCCCTCCACCTCTATGTCAACCTCCTCCAAAGTGCCTTCTGGGGAAGGAGACCTGGCTCTGGGGGAAACTTGAGGGGTGTGGAGCACAAACTCAGATGATTGCCCCTCCTTCCCCAGAATTTCCCTTGCTAGGGCACTGAGATCCACATCCAGCACCATGTCTTCCTCTGGCACAGGAAGGCTCAGCATGGGAAGTGAAATGGGGGTGGAGGATGCTAGAACCCAACTCCATGAGGCGCCCAACGACTAGGGAGACAACGATCCAATCGCTTATGGATCCTGGTACTCATTAGCCAGAGCAGACAGGGAGCAAACGCTACTTGCACACATTGCTCACAACAGCTTTATTCAGAAAGGAGACAGCTTCGGGCTAGCTCCCAAAAAAACAACAAACCGGGGAGCCGCCCTGAACAATAGTTCTTTCCACATTTTATACACCTTGGTTCATTCGTATTAACATTCACTCGACCCATGTCCCTCCCCTTGTTCTACACATTTCCCCTCCCATCTCAAGCTCCGCCTCAGTTTACTGTTTACTTCATTAACATGGACTTGCCTATGCATTTAATTCATTTACCTGCCTCTCTGCTAAGAGCACATGAGTAAGGCCATGAACTCGGGCACACTCGGTCACTTGCTGGTTCTTTCTTGTTCTTTGCTGATTCCAGCACCATCTCCAAGGTCTTGCTTCTGCTTTATCTTCTGCCATAGCTGGTGGGCTGCATTTGTTATTCTTACACAAGGAAGCACGTATCCTGCACACTATTCCATTGTTAAAGAAACTACTTGCCTAAGCATTTGCAAAGTTATTTTAATACATCATTTTGCCTCGTGACCAGCAGCTCTGCTGAGACACAAGAAAAAGCCTTTGTATTCAGCTGCAGATTCAATGCTCCTCAATAATCCAAAGTGTTGTCACCCTAACAGAGGAGACTGTCAAGCTGATGCTGGTGTTGCTGCTTGTTGTTGAGGTGGTAGTGGTGGGGCAGAGGGATTATGGATGGTGCTCGTGGAGGGGATGCAGTCTCAAGCACAGGCAGTGGCAGTGGCAGTGGCACTACTCCCGTCTCCTCGCTGCCTGTGGAAACCTCATCCTTTCTAGGTGAAGGAAAGAAGTTGCGTGCCAGTTTGGAGGAGCAGGGGGGAACTTATACCTCTCCCTCAACCCCCTCTTCCATCCCTCTCTCAAGGCTTGCCACCACCTGCCTTTCCACCATACTTCATGGGGTGTTTCATAATGTCTTGCTTTTATACAAATATATAAATATATTCACGTTCCTATATAAATTCAATAACGGGAGTGAGTGTTGCGCAAAGTAGATATGTATAAAAAGAAATATGAATGAATGAAGAATATATTTTTTCTCCTATATAAATTCAATAATGTATGTATGCTGCAAGCTTTAAATGTATAGAAATAAAATATAACTTCAGTTCCCATCCTATATAAATTAAATTCTATAGCAATATCCGATCTGATATAATTATAAAATTGAAAAGAATAAATCAATGAATATAATAATAAAATAAAAGCGTGTGGAAGAAAGAAAAAGATCTTTTGAAATCCCTCTTGCAAGTAGAAAATGAATGGTAGCCTTTGTTGTGTGATGCTGCTGAGCTGCTGGAAAACAGCCCAGTAACTGACCCCAAGGCAGAAGGCAGGCCTGTTCAAACAATGCTGCCTTTTATACTGTTTTCCCATCTCTCCCACAGAGCACTGGGATTGGAAGGGACCTCAGAGAAGGATGACAGTCACTGGCCAGCTCAATATGAGAGTAGTCCTTCCCCCCTTTTCCCGCCTCTTCCCTCTCCCTCTCCCTACTTTCTGTTTCTCTACAACCAAGTCCAGCTTCAGGTTTGAAACTCAAAACAGTTCAAAACTTTCAAAACATTTAAAGTGCATCCGTTTCATTTTGAGGCTGTTTTGAAGCCCTTTGGTTTTGTTCAATTCCTCTGTTTCAAGCTTGAAATGAGTCGAAACAGCATCAAAATGAAACAGTCAGTAAAACGTCACACAGACCTAGTGTCCACACAGCAGCTCCTGTGTGATGGCACTGTACGTTCCCACCTTCCTTAACATGCAGCATCAGCTTCAACCTGGCAGCAAGCTTTGCAGTGGTTATGGCCCCTGGGCCCTAGTGCTGCCCGTCTGGGTGATTTCAGTCTTATCTCTGTCCTGGCCGAGTGTCCCAAGATTACCAGAAATGTGGCTGTGTCACTACAGCAGGACTTTATGCTGGCGGCAGAGCTCTACATCAGCATTGCTTGCCACTTTGTTAATGATACAATAGCTTCACCACCAAGTGTACCAACCTCAATGTTGAAAAAAGAAAGCAGGCTACAATGTGGAAGTGATGTTCAGAGCTGGTAGTCTCTTCTTTCTTGCCAAAACTATGTGATGATCTTTAGCTGTCTGCCTGTCTAGTAGGTCATATTGAATCATAGGTCACCATTTTCTTGTCCCACTGTAGTCATGCTGCTTGCATATTGTACCTGGTTCTCCGAGCCCTGGACACCATAGAAGACGACATGTCCATCAGTTTGGAAACCAAGATCCCAATGTTGTGTGAGTTCCACACATACCTGTATCAGCCAGAGTGGAAGTACATGGAGAGCAAAGACAAGCACAAGCAAGTGTTGGAGGACTTCCCCACGGTAAGCCATTGTCTCTCATTTCCACCCACAACACAACAGCCTGTGTGTTAACTATTACAGGTACCCTCTTCAACACTTCTTGCATCTTGATCCAACAGGAACAGACCCAACCCAATCTAGTCTTGAGACGCCCACACTGGGCAGACGGTCTGTCCATCTGGAGCCAAAGTCATTGTTTTTTGTGCTGACTTGCTAAGTACTGGGAATGGCTTTGTTCTGAACCAGAGCATAGAGCCTCTGGTGGGCTGGGTGCTCATAGGTGATATGCTGACTGATGAGAAGGTTGTCATTGACAGTTCCTGATTAAGTGTTGCTGGATCTGGTGTTTGCACAAAATGTGCATTGCCTTGTACCCAGAAGCCATTGTGCTGAGTCCCTAAGATACTGCATAGGGGGAGTGGGTAAAACCAGATACAGCAGTAGCACACATTTCCTGAATTATAGTCCTAAGATCTGCACAAAATACCTGGTGCATCACTGTATTATTAGGTATGTAAATTAATGCATAAACTGTGGAAGGCCTGGGCTCGGAGAGGCTTATCCCACCCAAAATAGTTTTGTGGTGGCCAGAGACAGCAGCAGCACCACAGCACTGCTTGGCATGCAGCCAGGCCAACACCCCATGCTTTCTCAGCTCCGTGTAACTGAGGAAGAAGAGGCTAACCATGCATGTGTCACACCATGCAGAGCACAATGAGAGTTGCCATTCTTGTGCTGAGTCATGCACTCGGCCCCCCAAATAATATTTTCTCCCTCTGTCTATGAATTAATGGAATGGTCTATGTGATTGGTTAATAAACCTTTGGAGTCCAGTTAAAGCTTTATGGTCCATTGAGGTCCCCAAGTGAAGATCAGGCAGAAAAAAGATGTCTGGATCTCAACTGCCACCCAGCAGGTCATTTCCTAGGCTGTAGGTGTGCTGGACATTTTTCCTCCCTAGGTGCAGCACTTTGCATTTCTCCTTGTTGAACTGCATTCTGTTGTTTTCTGCCCACTTGTCCAACCTGTCCAGGTCTGCTTGCAGCTGTTCCCTGCCCTCCGGCATGTCCACTTCTCCCCATAGCTTTGTGTCATCTGCAAACTTGGACAGAGTACACTTCACTCCCTCGTCCAAGTCGCTGATGAAGACATTAAAGAGTATCGGTCCAATGACCGAGCCCTGCAGGACCCCACTTCCCACACCCTTCCAGGTTGAAGGCTTCCACCACTGGAAACAAGTTCTCTTGGACAAAGAGCCTGAGGCAATGGACCAGTGGTGATAGAGACAGGACTAGTGAATCCAACAGGCTTCAGCCATGAATCTGCATGCAGACGGTGATAGCCTGATGGTTGTCTCGCACCTGGCTTGAGACAGGGGTGCCAATTGGCAGCTGCTACCATGACTGAGCAGTCCTATTCAGGACCCCCTCTGCTCACCCTCCATGGGGAAGGGGCTAGAAAACGAGCCCTAAACCTAGGCTGTCTTATTTGATCCTGGCTGGATAGCCACATCCAGTGGGAACACTATCTCTGCGGTCAAAAACATCATAAGACAATGATTTTCGCAATATGGACCATTCACAACTTGATGGATAACCAAGACAACATACAACCAGAAAGCAGGGCTGCCATCATCTCCGAGGAATTAGTGATAGACACTACATTGACATTGCTCTGAGTGAGATGAGACTACTAGATGAGGGTCATCTGAGGGAAGAGGTTGGCATCTACTCCTTCTTCTGGAAGGGGAAACCAATTCAGGATAGCTGCATTCGTAGCGTCAGCTTCACTGTCAAGTATTAGCTCATCTAAAAACACTGTCCATATGACATGTGCTGAATCCATTAGCGATAGCACGTGTCAATACCAAGACTGGTTTCATGAAAGCAATGACCTCTACAACTGGAAGAGAAGGGCTCATTCTGTTGGCAAGATGGCACCTCATTTAAGCAGGAGGAGACGTGTCATCTTCTCAAAGCCGAAGCTCAAAGGTGGATCCAGGAAATCAAGATTCAGTGGTGGCAAGATAAAACTAAGGAGATCCAGCTCTATGCTGACAAACATGACATGCGTAGCTTCTTCCAGGCAGGAAAAGCCATGTATGGGCCAACTTCCCATGGTCCTATTTTCCTACTATCACAGGATGGCTTCACACTCCTCAAAGACAATGAATCTATCCAAGCTAGATGCAAAGAGCACTTTGAGGCACTCCTGAGCGGGGAGTTCACTGTTGCAGATACCACCATCGAGGCCATCCGCCAACACCCTGAAAAGGGGTCTGTCACCAAGCTTCCGACCCTGGAAGAAGTCTGGCGTGCCATAAAAACCCCCAATAACAACAACGCTTCTGGATCAGAAGGCATAGCTGCTGGCATCTACAAGGCTGGCAGTGAGAACTGGTGCTGAGACTCCACAAATTTATTCTTGAAATGTGGCCACATCACACAGATGTCCAGCTCCAGACTCCTGACGCAAGGTTTATTCTCCCATCTCAGTCAAGAGGAGGGCAGGGAAAGTACTTCAAGGACATACTGAAGCCAAACTTGAAAAAATGCAACATCTACATCCACTTGTGGGAGACTATCACCCAGGAACGCCCCAGATAGAGGAAGAGTTTGCTGCAAGGATCTCAGTACTTTGAAACCTTATGACAACAACAGGAGAAAGAAAAGCTAGAGTGGCAGAAACAACATGTTGTGGACCAGATCAAGAATCCAGAGCTACCCATTCCACATGGAAACACATTCCTGAGTTGCAAGACAGTCTCTTGATCTCAGATAGGCCTTGTCAGCCACCTTGAGACCCTGCAATAAGACAATCATGGGACACAATCATCCCCTACTGAGAGGGATTGCCAAAGAAGAAGAGGTTTCTCCTCAGCCAGATGACTGCAACCATTCTATGAAATGGTCAGAGACAGATTTGTTCCTCATCCAAACTGGGGTCAAGAAAAGAACTCAATCTCCAGCTTTGTTCCCCATTTGTCTGACAGTCAGCCTGGTTCCCGTTAAGGACTGTCTTCCTTCTGGAACTGACATTGAATGCCGAAAGGATGGAGGGTTCTTCAATCTGGGACATTTTTGCTGTAAGACCAAAGTAATCAACCTTGAATTGAAATACGCTGATGACTCCACCATCCTTGTGCACAGTAACAGAAATCCCTCAGACAGTGCTGGATCATTTCAGGGAAGCCTGCTGATCTTTGGGCCTCTCTCTTAACATCAAGAAGACTAAAGTGCCCTATCAGCCTGCCCTAAGCCATGAATGTGACCTTCCTTTCCCCACCCCTTCCCAAAATTGCCATCGTGAGATGGACTCTGGAGATAGTCGAGCACTTCCCCTAACTTGGTAGCCACCTCTCTCAGTCTGTGAACATTGAGGAGATCCAGCACAGGATCCAGTGTAGAAGTGACTCCTTTAGGAAACTGCATCAGTCAGACGTTATTCATTGCAATCTCTAGCAAGACACCAAGATCCAGGTCTACATCATCCCCCCCATCCTCTATGGACGTGAAACGTAGGTAACCTACCATCGTTATCTCAATCCTGGAGATGTATCGCCAACAAGGCCTCCAGAAAATGGGAAGATGACTGCATGAATGCCAGCTTTCTTGCTGAAGCTAGTGTTACTACCATTGAGTATGTCATCCTCGAGCACCAGCTTCGCTGGACTGGACATTGTATACAGATGTCTGACTCTCAACTCCCAAAATAAATGCTCTGCTCCCAGCTTTGTAATGGCCTGAAATCTCACGGTGGCCACAGAAAACTTTTGTTGGCTACAAATGTCCAACTCGGGATCCTTAAAAGTCTGGTTTATTAGGTGGATTGAAGCACTGTAATGAAGTTAAATCATAAAACTTGTGGCTGGGGGTAGCCCCCGCA